AACAACTCTTTGATAGAAACTTCCTTTTCCTGGTCCCTTTTGCCTATAAAAGCCTTCTATTTTGTACGGTTCTTTAGAGCTCTTTTCTATGTGCTAAACGGAACGCTGCCCAGTCCTGAATTGTTGAATAAAGCCTATTAAACCTTCAAATTTACTCAGTTGAGTAGTTTTTTAAGAGATTCACTGTCAACAGTAGCGCTGAAGGAGGCCTCTGATGGCTTCCGAGACAATAAGAAACAGGCCTGGTCCCTGCAAGCCCGTTTGCGTTCTCTGTCTCTCGCTGTTTCCAAGGGCCGCTGATAAGTTCCTCTCGGTTCTGAGGGCCACTCTGTGTCAGCCTCCTAATGCAAGTGGTGTTCCAACCCAGGGCCGTTCAGCTCGAGCTGGCAGATGAGTCCAGCCAGAACACAGTCCCCCAGCCCGCTGTTCAGACCGTGACTCCCCAACTTGAGCGGAGACCCTCCGCAGCTGGTTTGTCCCCAGACTCCGCAGTGGGGACTGCTGGTCTTCAGTCTGCAGTCCCACGTCCGTCTGAGATCTTTGCCAGGTTGTAGGCTGGGGACTGCTGGGAGCAGCTGCGGTTCCTAATTGTTTGGAGTCAGTCTGCAGCCCCCATTGTTTGGCATCTGCTGGTTCAGTCTTTTTTCCAGCCCCCAGATTCATGGGAATTGTTGGTGGGACACACAGGGACTTTTCTTGGCCAAGCTGCAGTGACATTTCTTGGTTACTGCTGGTGTGTTAAGATGCACATGCTTGTTTGTCTGTCTTAGTGTAGATAAAGGCTATTGTTAACGGGAAGCTTCCAAGCCAACAAGCCACAAAAGCTGATGAGCATTTAAAAGCTGTTAGTGCTCATCACCTAAGACAGAGACCCCATTTTAGGAAAATTTGGTCATAGAATGCCAACATCAATAAAATTTCCATGAAAGAGATAACACTTGTAAAACACCACATAATCTCCAACCCAGTGGCAATTCCTTTTAGGTGTTAGTTTAGCTTCAAGAGACCCAAAATCTTAGCTAAAAACGGAACAGGATTCTTAAGCTCCAAAGAGTGAAGCACGCCACCTTCTGGCATACCTGCCTATTTTATGTCTAAGAATGATGGTTCCAGAAGCTATAAATACCTATAAAAACAGCAAAATCTTACTAAAAACACAAAAAGTATCTAGAACAACACCCAGGCCTCACTTATTACATCCTCCTAGGGACCCATCATCAAAATGCTTCCCCAGGGATTGACATCTCAGTTGTAATCAATGGGGATGCTGGAAGAGAGATTGTTCTTTAAGGCCCTATGGAAATTCTTCACCTCATTGCGTCAACTCCCCAGAATTTACATCATCAAATTAGAAAGGACCTACCAGGAGGCCTTCATGATTCAGGATTTGCTTACAAGTCCCTCTACTCCTGGTTAGGAGTGAGTGCAGATGAGGCTATATGATCAGGAATCTCTCCTCAACTCTGGAAGACTTTGCTGAATGTACTGCTAGAGCAATACCTGTCCAACAAAAATCCTTAGACTCTCTAGCCAAAGTTGTTCTAGATTTTCTTTTAGCTGAACAAGTAGGTAACTATGCTATGGCCACCACCACGTATCATACCTAAATTAACACTTCTGGGGAGGCTGAACTCAGCTACCTAAGATTACTGAATAAGCCACTTCGAAAGGTGATCCCTCTAAAGACCCCTCAAAGTGATCTTTCTTTGACAGGTTTGATTTTGAATCCTTTGGGTCTTGGGGACCATGGCTCTGAAGTGCACTCCAGACATTGGGAATTGTCTGGCTTGTAATCATCATAGTAGTCTCTCCAGCGTCCTATATTCTCCTAAAAGCTTTAAATGTGTGTCCTCAGCTGCTAACCACCAAGCCAATGATTTCTCTGAGACTTGAATGTCAAAAAGGGAATCAAAAGTATGATCGACTGAAAAACCTGTAAGCCTGAAGTCTTGACCTGTGAATACCACAAAGATTCAGCCAAAAACCTTCATGGACCTGTGGATCGTCACAGTAAAAGCTGTGGGGAGAACTTCAGAGTGATAGCTGGCAATGGTGCTCATGCCTTAAGCTTTGATTACGTCTCTCAGTGAAACTCAGGCAAAGTTTCGGTCTGATGACAAATCTTGGCCAGGAACCTCTGGGGAGATCTGAAGGGTAGCTGGTGCAGCAAAGGGCGGAAGCAGAGAAATGTGGCTCTAGAATGGGTCGAGGAAGTGGCGGAGGAAAAATAACTCCCCCTCTACCCTTGCAGGCTCTTGGCTGAGTAAATAATAAAAGACAGCATAACAGGAAAAAGAAACAGAAGTTTAACAGTATGTATGCTTCCTATATACATGGGAGATACCCAGGAAAACTAAGACTTTCTGGACATTATCTACCCTTCTCTTCCCGGTTCAGAGACAGACAGACATTTCCCTTATAAATGTAAATAGCTCTTACAAAAGGGTAACCTCTGCTCATTTTTCAGAGCTTCTCCGCTGTCTGCTGCTTCTTAAAAAATAATCCTTATGCCAAAGAAGCATATGTTGGGGTGTCAAGTTCTGCTCCCCTCCAGGAAGGACAGGTTGCTCGAAACAGGCCTGCGCTGCCAAGTGCAGTGGGATCCTGTGAAATCCTGCATTTGGCGGCGCAGCTGGAAGGAGGGTCCACAGTGAACTTTCAGACGGTGGTCCGCCGGGAGCCCAGCCCTCAAGTACTGGTTCCGTCATTCAAACAGGCTTTGTCACGCACCCTTCCTGTGACCCAGAAGCCTGGGTGTTCGGGGTGGCCGGGCGGAGACAGCCGTGTGCAGAACCGCAGCGCCTGCCTTCAGGAAGCCCACTGCCTAGCGGAGGAGGCAAATAGTTACAGTGGCAATCTTACAGCTGTTTCTGAAACTACACCAGCAGACGTTTCGAGAACAAACTTTTGGGACTGTGAGATGTAGAGCCGGGGAGGCGATTTAAGCTTAGCCTTGGGAGAGGGTTTTCACTTCTGCAGGTACCAGGGCGAGGAGGGAGTGGCCCCGCACCTACAGGACCAGTGCTTCAGAAAGAGGCAGGCCTGGGTGGCGGTGAAGGGGAGGGCTGGAAACGTCCTGGCAAACGCCCGCGGGGGCCCGGCGGCGGCGGCCCCGGGGCCTCGCGGCGCTCAGAGGTGGGGCCGGGGGTCCCCCGGTGGCGCGGAGGCTTCGGCCCGCCTGCCTCGCTCCCGGCCCCGCCGTAGGGGGGCGCTGCCTCCTCCCTGGCGGCGGGGGGCGCTGCGGCCGAGCGGCGGGGGGCGCTGCCTCCTCCGGGACGGCGGGGGGCGCTGCGGGCCGGGCGGTGGGGGCGGCCCGGGCCGGCGCGGCGAGCGGCGCGGCGGATGGAGAGTCTGGCCGCGGCCGGCGGCGCCGCCTCCTCGTCGGGCCGGGCACGGCGGGCCGGGGCCTTTGTGTGAGGCGGCGGCGGCGATGGTGCTCGGGCCCCGCGGAGCCGGGTAAGCGCGGCAAGGCCGAGGGCTGCCCTGGCCGAGGCCCGACCCTCGGCCCGGCCTTTCTCTCGCTCTCGCCGGGCTCCCTCCCGCCCGCCGCTCTCGGCCAGATCCATCCTCCCCCGCCGCGCACCGACCCCCGCCGGCCGCGCCGCCGATCCCTTCGACCCCCGGTCGGCCTGGCGCCCCGCCGCCACCCCCTCGCCCCCGCCCGAGGTCGCCCTGAGGAATTCCCGGCTGTTTGGGGGAGGGATCGAGGTGCTCGATGCCCCCCCAGATGGAGTGCCCCAGCCGGATCCAACGCCCTTCCTCCCGAATTCGACCCTCCAGGAGGGAGACGGTGGCGCCGCGCGGTTGCTGGGGTCCCTTCTCAGAAGTTCCGAATCCGCCCCCTCCCACCGCCGCTCGGGCTTCCCGGTGCCCCGACCTGCTGACCGTTGATGTGTGGCCACCAGGGCCGCGGAGAGCCTTCGCTGGTACCCAGCAAAGCTCAGAGGCTTCCTGGGCCCCAGAAAAAGTTGGGAGTTAGTCCAGTGTGGTGAGGTGGAGCAAGGAGGCTGTGCTGCACAGGGCGAGTCGTGAGGCAGAAGGAGAGGGCAACGAGTTGGGCTTTTTTCTGGCCTGCAGGACTCAAAAAGGGGGAAGAAATGGTACTTTAGGAGTTGCCTGTGTAATTGGGTAGCTTCTTATTCCAAACCCTATCCCCAGGCATCAGGCAAATCGCTCAGTTCTGGTCAACATAAGCATAGCTGCTGAAAAGGGTGGGGGGAGAAAGACCTGAAGACTATTTAGGTAATTTTAAATACCGTAGTTGTGTTCTTTACTTTACTTCTCTGGCTTCATCCACAAGCTACAGAGAGTGTGATAGAGCAGTATCTGAATGGCCCTGGGCGAGGAGGCAGGTAGCTTGGATAGGGAAAGATGGGAACTCAAGAATAAGCAAGTGATTTATTTTAGGGCTTGAAAGAACACAGCAGTGAAAGGAAAGGAAAGGATAAAGCAGTAGCTAATGGAGCTTGATCATTGTGTTCAAGTATGTGTATGGCATTTGGCCTAGTAAGGGAAGAGAATATACTCAGTGAGATAGGAAAGCTTGTATTCAGGAAGAAATTAGGAAATTAATATGAGAAAAGTTTGAACCAGTTGCTCTGGTAATGAAGTATAAGAAGGTATCAAGAGGATGCTTTGGACTTGGCTTTAAAGCACTAGCTTCTGTCCAGTCAGGCCTCCAGCTTCTCTTACAGGCCAGTTTATCAGGTTTTTTCCAATATTTTTGGATTTTTTTCATGATCAGTCTGTCTTGGGGGATGTGCAGGGAGAAAGGTCACTGTCCCATCACTTGTGCTGTCATTGTCCCGTCCAGCAGAATGGAGCAAGTGTATGTCCATTCACACCTGCTCTCTCCCTGGGGCTTGAAAACATGCAGACGGTGGCATTTTGTCCCGCAGAGCTCTTCACCTACAAGGATGTGTTTGGCCATCCACCTTTTCCTTTTGCTATCCGCAGATTAACCGTGCTGATAAAGAGGCAACTTCACAGGAGCTGCTAAGATGGGCATGAGGATCAAACTGCAAAGCACCAACCACCCCAACAACCTGCTGAAAGAACTCAACAAGTGCCGGCTCTCGGAGACCATGTGCGATGTCACCATCGTGGTGGGGAGCCGTTCCTTCCCGGCCCACAAAGCTGTGCTGGCCTGTGCGGCTGGCTACTTCCAGAACCTCTTCCTCAACACTGGGCTTGATGCTGCCAGGACCTACGTGGTGGACTTCATCACCCCTGCCAACTTCGAGAAGATCCTGAGCTTTGTCTACACGTCAGAACTCTTCACGGACCTGATCAACGTCGGGGTCATCTATGAGGTTGCGGAGCGTCTGGGTATGGAGGATCTCCTCCAGGCCTGTCACTCCACCTTTCCTGACCTGGAGAGCACTGCCATGGCCAAGCCCCTGACCAGCACCAGCGAGAACCACTCTGGTACCCCGAGTTGTAGCTCAGCAGAACACCCCCATCCCCTTGGAGAACTCCGGGGTGGCGGGGAGCACTTTGGTCCTGATAGAAACTATGTGTTACCTAGTGATGCTGGAGGAAGCTATAAAGAGGAGGAGAGAAATGTTACCAGTGACACTAACCACAGCTTGCAGCCCCTGCCACCAAAGTCAGAAGACCACGATGCCCCTGCTCCGTTCACATCCGTCCCCAGCGTGGTGGCCCAGCCAGTCCTGGGCACTGTCAGCACGGGCATCCAAACCAGCACCAGTTCCTGCCAGCCATACAAAGTTCAGAGCAATGGAGACTTTGGTAAGAACAGCTTCTTCACCCCTGACAGTGCAGTAGACATTACCACTGGGACCAACTCCTGTCTGAGCAACAGCGACCATTCCAAAGACCCAAGCTTTGGGCAGATGGATGAGCTCCAACTGGAGGACCTGGGGGATGACGACCTGCAGTTTGAAGACCCCACAGAGGAGATTGGCACAGCTGAGGAGGTGATTGAGTTGAGTGACGACAGTGAGGATGAGCTAACTTTTGGAGAGAGTGAAAACCGAGAGAATAAGGCCATGCCCTGCCAGGTATGCAAGAAGGTTCTAGAGCCCAACATTCAACTGATCCGACAACATGCTCGCGACCACGTGGACCTGCTGACTGGCAACTGCAAGGTCTGTGAGACCCATTTCCAGGACCGGAACTCCCGGGTCACCCATGTTCTCTCCCACATCGGGATTTTCCTCTTCTCCTGCGACATGTGTGAAACTAAGTTCTTTACCCAGTGGCAACTGACCCTCCACCGACGGGATGGAGTATTTGAGAACAACACCATCGTCCACCCCAACGACCCGTTGCCTGGGAAGCTGGGTCTCTTTGCAGGGGCGGTCTCTGCAGAGCTGAAATGTGCTGCCTGTGGGAAGGCATTGGCCAAAGATTTCCACGTGGTCCGGGGCCATATCCTTGACCATCTGAACCTGAAGGGCCAGGCCTGCAGTGTCTGCGACCAGCGCCACCTTAACCTCTGCAGCCTCATGTGGCACACACTTGCCCACCTAGGCATCTCTGTCTTTTCTTGCTCCGTGTGTGCAAACAGCTTTGTGGACTGGCATCTCCTGGAGAAGCACATGGCTGTGCACCAAAGCCTGGAAGATGCCCTCTTCCACTGCCACTTGTGCAGCCAGAGCTTCAAGTCGGAGGCTGCCTATCGCTACCACGTCAGCCAGCACAAGTGCAACAGTGGCCTTGATGCACGGCCTGGCTTTGGGCTCCAGAACCCAGCTCTCCAGAAGCGGAAGCTGCCGGCCGAGGAGTTCCTGAGTGAGGAACTGGCGCTGCAGGGTCAGCCTGGGAACAGCAAGTATAGCTGCAAGGTGTGCGGCAAAAGATTTGCCCACACGAGTGAGTTCAACTACCATCGGCGGATCCACACGGGCGAGAAGCCGTACCAGTGCAAGGTGTGCCACAAGTTCTTCCGCGGCCGCTCGACCATCAAGTGCCACCTGAAGACGCACGCGGGGGCGCTCATGTACCGCTGCACGGTCTGCGGCCACTACAGCTCCACGCTCAACCTCATGAGCAAGCACGTCGGCGTGCACAAAGGCAGCCTCCCCCCTGACTTCACCATCGAGCAGACCTTCATGTACATCATCCATTCCAAAGAAGCGGACAAGAACCCGGACAGCTGACTGGGTCCCCGCAGAGCCGGGGGAGCTCCCAGGCGGCAGCCAGGACATTGGTTTCCTAGTGGCTGTTGGTCCTGCCCCACCTGAAGTTACAGTTTTGCCTTGCTAGGAATTCTGTTCTGTCCTGTGTTTAAAGAAGACAAAAGAATATATAGCACATGAACACTGTTTCTGAGAAGCAGCGGCCCTGTCGTGCTTACCTCCTTACCTGTTCTTGTCCGTGGAGGGCTGTGTCTTTGATTCTTTGGAGGCTGGTTTTGGGATCTCATCAGGCAGTTGGTGTCAGCTAGATTCCCTTCCCCAGCCTCTTGAGTTTTAGTTTACTGATAGGTTTTATGCTGCTAAGAATCCAACCAACAGCCTCACTGAACAGGAGGTGGAGAGAGGTTTTCACTGTGGGTATTAGTGCCGGACCTCCAACCGGGACAGCCAGCTAGGAGAGAGATTTTGGGAATGTGGTCATTCAGAAAAGACAAGGCAGCTCCCCCTTGGGTGCTGGTCCCAGCCCTCAGCGGGGCACGCCGTCAGGGATGAGGGGCCTGCTTGTTCCAGGGCTCGAATCTGCTGATTGGATGGTAAAATCTCTTGGCAGCTAGATCCAGACCGGGGACAAAGCTTTCTGTTTAGGTCTGAAAGCTTTGGGATGAATCCTTGCCAGCCGCTAAGAGGTGTCCTGCAGTGCTGCCGAAAGCAGCAGCGTGGGATGGACAGGAAGGGAGATTTCTCTTTTCCCCTCAATTCCAAAGAAGTGTGATCTTATGGAGTGGTGGCCCAGGATGTCAGGCTTTCCCTGTGGGCAGAAAGGACAGGGAGCTACTTTGATGTGGTCGTCACTTGTCTGGCTGCCCCCCTGGACCCTGAGTTTCCTGGTGGAGGGGTGGGGATGTCTCTGAAGCAGCAGCCTTGCCTTAATTTGCATCCAGTCTCCCACCGAGAAGTGTGTTTGGCCTATAGTGTAGACGGGAAGACCCCGTGAGGTGGAGGGGTGGACTGTGAGCCCTGCAGGATTAAAGGGCCCCGAGTAGCTGGATGTACTTTCTGTCTGCCCCAGCCAGGGAACCCGCTGTTTACTCTGCTACCTGGGCCGGAGTTTTGGCAGCTTTGGCGGCTTTGACCTGCTGCATTTATCCTGGTCTGCCATTGCATGGCCACCAGAGGGCGCTCTTGGCCGACAGCTGGTTCAGGCCCTCTCCGGGTGACTGGGTAATGGATCTCCCAGTCGGGGTTGCTGGTTGGCTGTTCTTGGTTGCCTTTTGAGGGGATCTTGCCCAAAGAAGGCTTGAGGGAGAGAGCCCTCAGATCTCGCATCTCACAAGGTGGCACCTCCGAAGCCCATACTACCTCACCTGCTCAGGCGAGCTCTGGGGGTCCCTGGCCTCGGCCCTGCCCCTGGCCCTCGTGGGACTCGGCAGCACCCCGGGCTGTTTTACAAGCAAGTAGTTTTAATTAACTCACAAAGCCTTTTTGAACATTAATATTTATTTATTTTGTTTTTGTATACATATTACCCAGCATCTCTGTTGGCTAAGAGACTTCAGGAAAATGAGCTTCTCCCCAGCAAGTAGCCATATTCCAGGGGACAGTCCTGGCCAGATATTTGGGGAACAGGGGCTTGAACTAGGGGAGAACAGGTCAAGCCTTTAAACAAGCAAATGCTTTTCTCTCCAGATAAGTCTCTTGCAGAATAAACCCAGGGAGCCCTTTAGGAAATGGATGTAAATTCTAGAAAGTTGAGTCTTGTTGAATCCCTGGACCTTTTATCCCCTTTCCATCCTGTGGTTGAGTCAGTTGGGGACTGGATTGAGGGGATAAGATCACATGAAGGCCCTGTTTGCATATTTTCTCATTCTTCCTGAAGTTGGGAAGTTATAGTAACACATGAAAGTGAACCAAAGCCCTGTCCCTTTTGGACTTGCCCCCGATCTCCCCCCAGCCCTAATTGATATAGCCTCGGAGTTTTGTGTGCATAGCTCTCCAGTGAGGTGACCATTACTTGAAGGGACTTGCCCAGTGGCCAGCTTTCACTGTCAGAATCCAAGGAGTTAAATGTTCCCTTGGGACATTCTCGTTAGAAAGCAGTGCTGAGACTTTTCATCCCTGACTGACTGCTTCCTTTCTTCCTGTCAGTCCTTTAAGAAGGGAGTGTGTAGAAGACCACAGTCAACGATCTTCTCAGCTTTTCAAGCCTGAGTGGTTTCTCCCAGATTGGGGGTGAGGACTGAGTTTTGAATGGCCAGGTTTGAGAGTGGGCCCACCGCCTGGAAGCCAGCTGGGTAGCTGGGAATGGATCAGCGTGCTGGAGAAACCCTTTTCCTTAACAGAGGGTTATCACTGATGCTGGGTAGTCTGTGTACTTAACCTGAAACTGTGAAGTTTTCCCTTTTTGCCAGTAAACCAAAAGCAAATCCTCGAAACTTTACCCCTAAAACACTAAATGAAAGACTGCGCCCCCTGATCCTCCTGAGGCCAAGTGGTTGACCAGGGTGACATGGTTGGCTGCGGTCAGACATGTAGCAGGGTCAGTAGCTCATGAGGCTCATTGACCAAACACTGTCCCCCGCGTGTCCCCCTTATTCACGTCTCAGCCCTTCCTCTGTTCGGAGTCACGTTTGCTTCCTCTGCCACCAGCCACTCTTTTCCGCACTGTTTTACTTGAAACACTATATTGTGGCAGAGGGCACTCTAGGATACCTGGTGGAAGGTATTAATTTTATTCTGAATTTAAAATATTTTCAATTGTCCATGGGGTTGTGTTGCCCTCTCTGCCCTGGAGCCCAGTTTAGCACTGTCTTCTGCTGTATTGTTCCAAGGTTCGTTCTGTTTGATCCTTGAATGTCTTCTTTTTCATCCCCCACCTCTTTTTCTTGTTCAGTACTCAGGACTGGTTACATAATTTATAGAGCCCTTTGCTTAAAAACTATTAAGAATTTTGTGGCAACTGTAGCATTAAAGCAAACACAAGGCCATTCTCACCTTTTTTCCTAAGGGAAAGGGTGATACTCTAACGTTCTTGTGTTAGTAGCTCAGTCGTTCTAACTCTTTGCGACCCCATGGACTGTAGCCCACCAGGCTCCTCTGTCCATGAAATTCTCCAGGCAAGGATACTGGTTTGGGTGGCCATTCCCATCTCAAGGGGATCTTCCCGACCCAGGGATCCAACCCAGGTCTCCTGCATTGCAGGCAGATTCTTTACCACCTGAGCCGCCAGGGAAGCCCCTGTTACCCTAATGGCCCACTGTAAACAGCTGCCGCAGCCAGAGGAAGGGGTCAGCGTCGGGGCGCTCCTCTGCCCGGCCGTGACTCACTGATGCTGCGGGACCTGTCAGGAAGCCCTGCCGTGCCTGGTGTTTGGTCCTCAAGTTTCAGACTCCATGGAGTCTCTGGTTCATGGCTAGTTGGGAAGAAAGGAGGTGGGGGTGGGGGTCAGGAAATAGGTAAAAATTCTTTTTGACATTCTTCTGCTCTATGGGCACCCTTTTGTCTCTAGGAAACCTCTGAGTTTAACGACCTTCTCCCCAGGCAGGTTTTGCTGCTGGTGAATATTCCTCTTCTGACCACCCGCTGTGCCCTATAACCCCCCACCCCCCACCCTGGCCCCCAGACTATTCGACTTTGGAAGTGAATTCACACTTCTTTACATACGGACATGATTTTGTTGGCATGGAAGTGGGCTGTGTGCAGAAATCTGCCCATCTGGGAATCCTCGTGTGTCCTTTTCCCTAAATCCTGCACTGACCAAATCAGGAAGCAGGGCACACAGCATTTGTTTCAATGTGCTTACTCATGGTAAACTTAATATCCCAATGAAAATGCAACTTCTACTTTGGATGTTTCTTTAACACCTTTCCCCTGTCCAATCCACCCTCCCCTCCCACCTCTACTAGCTACATCTCTTATGAAACTGAGAAGAGTTGTTGACATTTAACTCCTTCCATTAAATTAATAAGTACTGACCTCCTAATATTTAAGTGTTTACTATCTATTGCTGTAAAGTTTTGTATATTTTGTAAACTTCTTTTCTCAAATAGTAGATGTCTAAAATCGTTGTACATCTGATTCTTTTATATTCCATTGTTCAGCACAAAGTGTGGTTTTTATTTAGAATAAAAAAAAAAGGAAATTTGAAATGGTAGTTCTTTTCCTATTTACTGTGGTCTGCTCATCCCTCACAGTTCAGAGTATCTGGGCCATCATCCTCTCAGTAGCAATATCCTGCTCAGCGGATGCCAGAGTTCTTTCAGGTAGCACATTTCCTTTCCTGTAGCTGGAATTCCCCGGGGTTGACTTGATCTGTTTTTAGTGGAAACTTAACTCGATGGCCCAGCCTTTTCAGAGGGACCATCTAAGGGGACTGTTCTGTTGGCCCAGAGGGTTGGTCACAAATTGTCTTGCTGGTGCCACTCACCATGACGTGGAGTGTCGGAATGGAGAGAGGCAGATTCAGAGAGGGGGCAGAGGTTTGGCCTAATTTCATGAGATTGGTAACCAGCGTCCCTCTACAGAGAGGAGACAGGCCTCTAGAGTTAGGACGTGACACGGTCCCCTTGGTCTCAGGGCACATTGGTGGGACCCGGCCCCCATCAGCCCTCAGCACACAGAGCCAGGGGTCTTGCTGCCATCAGCCCCGTGCTTGCTTCTCGGGGCCTGAGGAAGGACCTGAGTTATCAGAGTGATCACTGGTTGCCGAAGTGGAATCTGTGAGAAAAGATGTTGAGAAAGTGGCCTCAGGTAACCTAGAATGTAACAGAGATGTAGATCTGGGTTTCCTTGAGGGAACTTCTGGAGCCTGATTTGGGGACGGCAGTAATAAAGGCATTGGATCTGGGCTGGGTTTTTATGTGGGCTCGAGAGGAAAGTCTTTATAATACATCCTTTGCATTGTTAGGTTCCTGGACTCCCCTAGTTGAAAAAGGCTTCAGCCCTGTGCCACCAAGCAGCAGTTTTTAGCATGGGACCCTTGAAATAAAAAGACCTTTTTTCAGGTTTGGGTCCAGTGAGCAGAGGGAGTTAAATGGACTTCCCTTGGTGCTCCTGACAAATGGGTTCCTACAGCGCTGGAGCACATGTTTAATGCATCTGGTGAATCTGCTTAATGCGTCTCAGATTTCCAAGAGCAGAGGGGAGGCCCTGCAGTCAGTGACTAGCCATTCCAAATTAAACATTCCAGACATAACTGAGCACTTGAGCAGGACAGAAGGTCTCAGTGATTGTGTCCACGAGCCCCTTAATTCTCCACGGGCAGGGTGCAGAGGCGGGTGGCTTGGGACTGGTGGGCTGGGGCCTTCTCTGAGGCTTTACTTCAGTCAGAGCGCTTCGGGGACAAGGTCCTGGTTCCCCAAACTGGTGTACAGAGCCCTTTCCAGAAGACCTCCACGTTCGCAAGAGGACTTCCGATCCTGTCTATAGGACAAGTGTGAATACAAGTTTCTGGACAGGAAGGTTATGAGGAGACTTGGCCAGGAAGAAAGAAGGCTGAGGGTGAAAACTGGCTTAGGAGACTCCAGGCCTCTGCCCTCTGACAGAACCGGAGGATTTCCGCTTCCCACCCCCTGCAGGGGCAGGACTGAGGGTCAGAGCCCCCCGTGAGCGCCTGCTGCTGCCCATCCCAAGTCTGCCCCCAGAAGGGTTGTCCCTTGATACTTTCCTGGGATCCAGAGAGAACGGGAGGGACTGGGGGCAGAAGTCTGGAAACGTGCTAGACCCAGAGCTGGGGGCAGAGGGGCATGGCCTTGGGGACAGCTCCTCTGCTTGTGGGGGGAGGGGACCAGGGTGGACGAGGAGGAGCGTGTCAGCAAGCCCTTTCCTGAATGCTGGGGGAGGAGAGGCCGCCCGCGGCCCAGCTGCGGGGTGCCTGTCTCAGACCTGGCCTCACCCGCCCCTGCGGTCCCCACCCGCTCCATTTATCATCGCACTGAGGATGCACTGCTGGGAAACAGCCTGCGGAGGCCTCCTGGCTCCTTGGCCTCTGGCCTCTTGTCCCTGCCGCCTGCATGATGTGCTGGGAGGTCAGCAAGCGCCAAGCACAAAAGGAAGGCTGTGTGCGGTTCCTGTGGAGCTCCCTCTTTCCGGCCGGGGTGGTTTTTGCTGAGCATCTCTTTGGCCTCAGCTCCATTCCCAATCCCAGCTTGCAGTGCAGACTTGTTCAGAGATTCAGAGTTGTGTCTCTACTCTTTATTTCACCCTTTCCCCTGCGTCTCTCCCTTCGGCACAAGGATGGTTTCAAATAGTACAACGCCAAGGGTCTGCTGTCTTCCTCTGCCTGCCTCCCTCCCCGTCCCCACCTCAGCATTTGAAGACAAACTCAATACTGGCCATGAGTCCTCTGGCCCTCTCCCACCCCCCAGCCCCTCCCCAGATCTCTCCCCTACTTCCAGCGCTCTGCTTCACTGCTGGAGGACGCCGCTCCCCCCCTCAGCTGCCTACGAGAGACCGAGGGGCGGAGGCGGGCGGGGCAGGTGCAGCCTGGAAGTGCAGGCTGGGGAGGTGGTGGGGGCGGGCTGCAGGGGGCGGGCTGCCCTCCTTGGTGATGATGATGGAATGCTGCGTGGAGGAGGAGGAGCGGGAGGAGGAGGCCTGTCTGCCCTCCCTGGTCTGGGCCTTGGGGAGGTAGTGGACCACGGCGTTGAGCAGCCGGCCGCGGAAGCTGGGGCTGAGGAAGTTATAAAGGATGGGGTTGACCACACAGTGGAGCATGGAGAAGCAGTCGATGACGTCGTAGAAGAAGTAGAGCAGGCGGGCCAGGTAGCAATGCAGGGAGATGTGCGCGCCGTGCAGTGTGAGCAGCAGCAGGGCCAGGTGGTAGGGCAGCCAGCAGACCACGAAGACGGCCACGTAGGCGGCCAGCAGCACGCAGTGGCGCCGGCCCGCGGGCTGCCCCGCCTGCCGCAGCCGGCGCGCCGTCAGCACGTTGAAGACGGCGATGAGCGGCAGCGGCAGCAGGAAGCCCAGGACGGTGGTGGACAGGGCCACCGCCACGGCCCACGTGCTGTACGTTTCAAACGGCGCCATGAAGAGGCACATGGGCTCAAAGCTGTCCACCAGCCGGATGTGGACCACCTCGGGCAGCGGGATGAGGGCCGAGAGGACCCAGACGCCGGCGCACACGGCGCGGCGCGCGCGGTGCTGCCGGCGCTGCCAGGAGGCGGAGGCGCGGGTGAGGGTGAGGTAGCGGTCCACGCTGAGGCACGCCAGGAAGAAGACGCTGCTGTACATGTTGGCGTAGTAGAAATAGTGGGTGAAGCGGCAGGAGAAGCTGCCCCAGAGCCAGGTGTAGTCCAGCGTGACCTCCAGCATCCACACGGGCAGGGACAGGATGATGCCCAGGTCGGCGATGGCCATGTTGAGGACGTAGAGACGCAGCAGCCCCGCGCCGGCCGAGCCCCGCCAGTTGGCGCAGATCACCAGGAGATTCTCCACCAGCCCGACCACGAAGATGGCCAGGTAGACCACGAAGAGGGCGACGCGCTTCGTGTTCTCGTTGAGCTCCACGTGGCACTCGGGCAGGGTGTGGTTGAAGAAGTGCAGCAGCTCCGTCCAGTTGTAGATCTCGCCCACGTCCCTGGTGGGCGCCAGGCTGGGCCCCGAGGTGGCCGACATGAGGGCTGGCCAGTGCCTGATGGGGAGAAGGGACGGCTGGAGGAGCGAGGCAGCCTAACGGCAGCCTCGCGTCCCCAGGGTCACAGGCCCCGGGGCCGGGAGGGTTTGGGGAAAGATCCTGAGTCTGAAGAGGAAGAAAGGGAAGTGTAACATTCGAACCGTGAATAAATAGCACACAACTCACTGCTGGCTTGGACCCACGAACAGGAATATTCTGTTAAGGGGTCTCCGTGGTGGGAGAGGCCAGAGCCCAACCGCTTTCTTCCGGGAACCAGTCCCCGAGGTGGGCTCCATCTCCGCTTCTCTCCTGGAGCTTCACCGCTTGGCCCTTTGGTGCCGGCCTTCCTTAGGGGCTCCTGCTTTGTCTCGCTATTTGGGCCTTGCGTGTGGGACACACACACACCCACACACACGCGCGCGCGCACACCCCTCCGCTTCATCCCTGGGGACATCTGTGGATCATGCAGGAAAACCAGTCACCTCCAGACCCCACGCCCTGCTTCCCTGAGAGCGGGCGACCCTCACCTGAGCTTCCCTGTGGAGAGCACCTCCGGTCCGGGAGGGCCGGTGGGTCTGGGCCGGTGGGGAGAGCACCGCCGGTCGGTCTGGGCCGGTGGGGAGCGGCAGGGAGGCTGGGGGGACTGTAGCCGCGGAGCTGGCTCTCCTGCAGGTTTCAGGGCCGCCCTTCTCATCCGGGAAGCAGTATCACTGGCTGAGGCTCTGTGGGAGAGGGTCGGGGTTTTTCCTGCCTTCTCCCAATCCAGTTAGAGGGGAAGTCACAGCAAAAGTTCCAGTGTGGCGGTGACAGGGAGGAGTCAGGCTGCAAACATTAAAATCCAGACTCCTGTGGCTGGGTGAACTTAACCTCTTTAAGCCTCAGTGCGCTCCTCTGCAGAATGGGACGACAATCGTAGCTACTGATAAGGGTGCTGGTGAGAATTAAACGAGCCATCACAGTGACATGCTAAAGCTTTATGTAGGTATATATCTTCCACTGATAAACTGGAGTGGAATCGCACTCTCCCCTGTCTGTCTTGACTCCTACTGAAACAGAACTGGATGGGGGTAGGAGGGCTAAAGTAAATCCGGAAATTATCCAGACGTGGTCACTCTGGCCCTTCTGCTGGATGGCCACCCTGCCATTCCCCCAGCCTTCATTCTGTGATCTGAGGGGAGACTCTGGAGGGAGAGGTAAGACTGAATAGGGAGGAGACTGTGCTGAGCTCCAAGGAGACTCCTGGGTGGGGAGGGGTTGGTGAACAGCATTCTCCAGCCCCCAAGCTCCATACTGCTCCAGCCAAGTGTGGAGGAGAGAGAGAAGATAAGACACCAGGCTTCTTTCTCCCTCCAAGCCGAGGGGAAGGCTCGGAGCCCCGGGCGGGCGTGTGTTCTTGGTGAGCATCTTGTGTCAGCTGAGCTTTTTCATCTCAGTTAGTCGTTTGATCCCCCAGGAACCCCTGTGGGGAGGGAGGATAGGCTTCCTTATCCAGAGATGTTGCCTGTCTCACACAAGCCACACAGAGGCATTGACGCGAGAGCAGAGCCCGCGCTTTGTGGAGCCCGGGTGTGTTGGCTGGAGGGGATTGGACATACATACATTAATCCAGGTGAAATTCCTATGACAATATTAATATTTTAAAGCTTACGATTCAGTGGCATTAAGTATTCACATTGTTGTGCAACCACTACCTCTATGTAATTCCAAAATATTTTCATCACCCCAGAAGAAAGTTTTGTCACATCCGTTAAGCCTGCACTCCCAAGTCTGCCCTCTCTTCAGTGCTGGCGCCCACTGTTCTGCTTTCTCTCTGGTTTGACGTATTGTGCCCGGTTGCTCAGTTGTGTCCGACTCTCTGTGACCCCATGGTCTGTAGCCCACCAGGCTCCTCTGTCCATGGAATTTTCCAGGCAAGTATACTGGCGTGGGTTGCCATTTCCTCCTCCAGGGGACCTTCCCGACCCAGTGATAGAACCCAGGTCTCTTGCATCTCCTGCATTGTCAGGTGGATTCTTTACGACTAGCACCACCTAGCAAGCCATTTATGTATTAAAGATAATATCAGTTGAATCATACAATGTGTGACCTTTGTGTCTTTTCTTTTTCGCTTAGCATAATATTAAAAGATTTTTTAAATTGAAGTATGGGTGATTTCCAATGTTATGTTAGTTTCTGGTATATAGCAAAGTGATTCAGTTATATATATATATTCTTCCTTTTTGGACCATGCCGCACAGAGAGTCTTAGTTCCCTGACCAGGGATCCAGCCCATTCCCCCTACAGGGGAAGCATGGAGTTATAACCACTGGACCACCAGTGGTTATATAGTTTATTATAGGATATTGAATATAGTTCCTATGCTACACAGTAAGACCTTATTGCTTATCTATTTTATACATGATAGTTTGTATCTGCTAATCCCAAACTCCTAATTTATCCCCCCCACCACCTTTCCCCTTCGGTAACCATAAATTTGTTTTCTATGTCTGTGAGTGTTTCTGTTTTGTAAATAAAGTTATTTGTGTCATATTTTAGAGTCCAATCTGAGTGATATCATATGGTGTTTGTCTTTCTCTGACTTCACTTAGTCTGATAATGCCCAGATTTACCCTTGTTGCTGCAAATGGTATTATTTCCTTTGTTTTTATGGTTGAGTAGTATTCCACATTTTCTTTATCCATATATCTGTTGATGGACATTTAGGTTGCTTCCATGTCTTGGCTATTATAAATAGTGCCACTATGAACATTGGAGTGAATGCATCTTTTTTGACAGAAGTTTCTCTGGATATGCCCAGGAGGGGATCATATGGCAAATCTAATTTTATTTTTTTAGGGAACCTTCATACTGGTTTCCGTAGTGGCTGCACTAACTTACTTCCCCACCGAGAGTGTAGAAGAGTTCCTTTTTTCCACATCCTCTCCAGAATTCATTATTTGTAGACTTTTATAAAACAGCCATTCTGACTGGTATGAGGTGGTACCTCATTGTAAATTTGATTTGCGTTTCTCTGATGATTAGCAATGTTGAGCATCTTTTCCTGTTCCTATCAACCATTTGTATGCCTTCTTTGGAGAAATGTCTAAGTCTTGTGTTCATTTTTAAATTTTTTTGTTATTGAGTTATACGAGCTGTTTGCATATTTTGGAAATTAGGCCCTGTTGATTGCATCATTGGTAAGAATACTTTCTCCCACTCAAGGCTGTCTTTTCATTTTGTTTCTGGCTTCCCTTTCTGTGCAAAGCTTATAAGTTTGATTAGGTTCCACTTGTTTATTTTTATTTCTATTCTATTTTTATTTCTGTATTTATTGGAGACTGACCTAAGAAAACATTGCTATAATTTATGTCAGAAACTGTTTTGCCTATGTTCTCTTCTAAGAATTTTATGATGTCATGTCTTATACTTGTCTTTAAGCCATTTTGAGTCTTGTATGTGCGTATGGGTGTGTGTGGTGTGAGGGAGTGTTCTAACTTCATTAATTTATGTCACTTAGCGTAACATTTTTGAGATCCATCTGTGCTGTAGCTTGTATCCATACTTCATTTCTTTTTATGGCTAAGTAGTATTGCATTGTGTGGATATAGTGCATTTTGTTTATCCATTCAAAGAGTGGTTTTTTAAATGTCTGCTAATTGACCCTTTTAATTGTGGTAAAATAAACATAACATCAAATTTACCATTGTGGTTATTTTAAAGTATATAGTTCAGTAGAGTTAAGTACATTCACATGTACTTTAAAAAATTCTTTTCTAACTTTTAATTGGAAGATAATTGCTTTGTAGCGTTGTGTTGGTTTCTGCTGTACAATAACGTGACCATAATGTGACGATGCAACCATCGCCACCATAAAGACACACCTGCCCCCTCCCTCCTGAACCTGCCGCCACCCCCACCGCGTCCCACCCCTCTAGGATGGCACAGAGCACCAGGCTGATCCCCCTGTGTGACACGGCGACTTCTGCTAGCGATCTGTTTTACCTACGGGAATGTATCCGTTTCAGTGCTGCTCTCTCAAATCTCTCACCCTCTCCTCCCCCGACCCCGGGCTGTGTCCACAAGTCCAGTCTCTATGTCTGCATCTCTATTCCTGCCCTGCAAATAGGGACATCAGTACCATTTTTCTAGATTCCATATATACACATTAATAAACAATATTTATTTTTCTCTTTCTGACTTACTTCACTCTGTGTAACAGGTTATAGGTTCATTCACCTCACTAGAACTGACTCAAATTCATTCCTTTCTTTGGCTAAGTAATACTTCTTTATCCATTCATTTCTGATGGACCTCTCCATTGCTTCCCTGTCCTGGCTACTGTAAATAATGCTGCAATGAACTCTGGGTTACATGTATCTTTTTGAATTGTGGTTTTCTCAGTATATGTCCAATAGTGGGAATTATGGCTTTCTCAGTATGTGCCCAATGGTGGGATTTTAGTGCTTAATCGTGTCTGACTCTTTGTGACCCCATGGACTGCAGCCCACCAGGCTCCTCTGTCCATGGAATTTTCCAGGCAAGAATTTTGGAGTGGGTTGCCATTTCCTCCTCTAGGGGATCTTCCTGACCCAGGGATTGAACCCACATCTCCTGTGTCTCCTGCATTGGCAGGCAGATTCTTTACCACTGTTGGGTCATGTAGTAGTTTTATTCCTAGTTTTTAAAGATAACCTCCGTATCATTCTTCATAGTGGCTGTATCAGTTTGCATTCCCACCAACAGTGCAAGAGGGTTCCCTTTTCTCCACATCCTTTCCAACGTTTATTGTTTGTAGATTTTTTGATGATGGTTTTCTGACCAGTGTGAGGTAATACCTCATTGTAGTTTTGATTTGCATTTCTCTAATAATGAGTGATGTTGACCATTTTTTCATGTGTTTATTGGCCATCTGTATATTCACATGTACTTAATGCCACCATCACCACCAACCATCTCCATGGAAAAGGATATTTTAAATCTTTCAGTTTTCTTACAGCTTTCTCTAGAAAAACTGTTTCTCTAC